CTATTTTTATTTAAAATTTAAACATCTCTATGATTATTACTATTATTATTAGTGTTCATATGTATCGCGGTATCCAGTCTTGCGCTCGTTTCACCGCGCGCCACATAAAAATATTAGCAAACATAACCGTGACATTAAAAAAGTTACATTACATATTATATTTAATTAAAAACAACATTATTAAAAAAAAAGATAGAAAATATTCACCCGCTGACTGTAGAATTACTTAGATGTCATGCCACCCAGCAGCATCCTTTATCGGTCAATTGTTGAATTAACGTGTGAAAATGTTCCTTTGAAGTTACTATTGAAATAGAATAAAAAGCTTTTTCTGGCTTGTCGTTCTTGTTCTTTAATTATATCCTTTTTATATATTTTAACTAGTTATACTGGTTAATTTTCTTTTTCATTGAATTTAATTGATCTTATCTTAAAGCAAATTTCATGTACTTGCTTGAATGTTTCTTCACAAACACTTTATTCTTTCACGATTGATCGATGTAGTTTGAATTTAATTACATTAGATTTATTTTTTTAATTTATCTCATCTTAAAGCATATTTCATGTACCTGATTGAATGTTTCTTCACAAACACTTTATTCTTTCACGATTGATCAATGTATTTTGAATTTAATTACATTAGATTTATTTTTATTGGCACGTCAAAATGTTTTTAAAAAAAGGCATAACATAATATGCATCCCATTTAATTTGAATAGGTTGTTAAATACTACTAAATATTAATCATTGGAATTTGGAAATTTTATAATAAAGCCTTGATAATATAAAGAATTTACAGCATATAGATTTGGATAAGGGGTATCCACTTTAAAGATGTTTTACTGTAGGATATACTCTTATTATAATTCACTAGGAGTACCCGTACCCGTAGTGTTGTTGCTCGGAAAAGTTAATTACAAATGTTTAAATTCCAGTCTAATTAGAACATTCTTCTTAAGTTTGTTTTTGACCGGGTTTGCGCCCAATCTTATTCTTTTCTATTTTAAGGTAGGATACATTACAGATATATTCTTATTTTATGTGAATTTAAATTATGATTATTGAAATATATATATATATATATATATTAATTTTTTTTGTACTGATGAAGGCATTTGCCGAAACGCTTACATTTGTAGTTTGTAAAATCCTCATTAAAGCTGAGCTTGTATTGTTTTATTTATACATATTGTTTGTGTTCAATTTATCTACTTTAAAGCTTTATCAAAGACCAGCTCTCCTATCATTAGTTATTTAAATTCCAGCAATGTAACATTAGGCGTTGCGTTGTATTTATACATGATAAACTGGGAATTTTGCGTCACCAATGATTTCTGACTGCAAGTGATTTGCCCTGCACAACTTCGCTCGAAGCGTGAACAGAGCTCATTTCAGCTAATGGGATTTTTAATTAATTTTTTGTGCCCATCTATGCAGACGTTATGGACTGTTGTCGCCATACACCTACAATAATTATTGTGACTCTTATAGTGCCAATAGCCCCCTAAAAATGTGTTAATAAGGCTATAAAAATACCACTACAATGTTTCGCTGTTTTCGTAATACTAATGCTTTGTTTTTATTAATAGCTGGCAAGATAGCTGGGAAGGGAAAATGTCGTGGGTATCCGGGTCGGCGAAGAGGATGGCTCGGCTTTTAAGAAAACAAAATGTCTGGCTTTGGGATTTTAAAGATGATATGTGAGAATAAGTTTGATTCCGTCACTATTGTCCATCTGAAGAGACCTGAAGCTTTAGCACGACTAATATTTTTACCCCTTTGAAGGGTTGGTGAAATTATTGTCTCCGGGTAGGGCCTACAAAGGAAATAGACAATCACCTCAAGTGCATTGTCTCAAAAGTCATTCTCAGACTGGCAAAGTCGGCGAAGATGAAGTAGTTAAGAAAAGGGAGTAGAGTCTTTACACAGTTGTGTGGGGGGGGGGGGGAGAAGATTTGAGAAAATATCTGATTTCCTCAAACTCTTTTCTATAATAATAATAATAATAATAAAGTGTATTTCAAAAATACGCTTAATCCCCAAAGGCTCGAAGCGCGGTACAAGAGTAAAAAAAACAACAAAAAAACTATAATTTACCACATTTAAAACAAACGCAACACTACAAAAAATAATTACAAGCATATAAAAACCAAGTCAAAGTCTTTCTACACATTTCAACCCTCAGCAACACAGCTAATATGCATTAAATGGAAAATATGGTAGACAATCGTCCCAGAAGGTGTTTGCGAAATAAATGTGTCTTTAAATCGGTTTTAAAGGACTCCAGTGTCTGATTGTTTCTGAGATCGACTGGAAGGGCGTTCCAAATTGTTGGACCAGCAAATACGAAAGTTCGCTTTCCGCAAGTCTCAAGGCGAACAAGTGGTGTCAAGAGTTTGCCACTGTCGGACGAGCGGAGTTGTCTAGTGGGTACATAAGGCGTCAGCAGCTCTTTCAGATAGGACGGCGCCAGGCCATGTAAACAGCGGTAGCACAACGTTGCGATTTTGTACTCTATGCGAGCACGGACCGGCAGCCAATGCAACTCTCTCAGAAGTGTTTTTGCATGGTCGAACTTGCGTTTGCGGAGAACAATTCGAGCCGCATTATTCTGTGCTATTTGAGATTTATCCAGGAGCGTAACTGGAACACCCACCACGAGAGCATTGCAATAGTCCATGCGTGATAGCACAAATGCAGACATCAACCTCCTTGTTGCATCAATTGTTAGGAAGGGCCTGATGTGACTAATTCTGCGCAGCTCTAGAAAAATGAATATATCGAGTTTGAGAAAAATAATGTTAACCTATCGAACATGTTATTTCATTATAAATTATAATTTCCACAATCAGCCTTAAATATCAAATAAATATGATTAATACATTATAATATGATCAATATACCGGAGCAAATATTCAAAAATAGTTGTTGCACATCCTTGATCTTTTTTACATATTGGTGACCAACAGGTAGGTCTACGGTATCGGTAGGATTAAGGTACAGGTAGGCTTGAGGCACAGGTTTGCTTAATTTACATCTAGGTCTAAGGTACAAGTAGGCTTAAGTAACAGGTATGCCAAGTGTACAGGTAGGCCAAGGAACTAGTAGTTAAAACAATCCATGCAGAGAGGATATCCTTGACAAAGTATATTATATTAAAAACAATTGCAGAAATTTACAAACAAATAATTTTAAAAACAGTTAGTTGTTGTCAATCAATTTCTTTCGGTAAGGAAATTATGGCTATGTGGTCAAAATTCCTTTCAATCAATCTACATTGCAAGTCTAAAAAAGCAGGCACTCCAGTCTCAGGACCAGACGCAGACCACGCCGGCGTTGGATCGACTGTGTTAAGGACAGCGTAAATGTCCTCAACTTAAACCTTCAACTTTCAAATGTCTTTAAGCATTGTATCAGATCGCCAATCTAAAATCTCATTTAGTAGCGTACAGAAGAAGATGGACATATTTTATATTTCATGTGTTTTGAATTTTAACCTTTTTCTTTCACTTTACTAGTGTAAAGAATAACACACACACACACACACAAACACTCACACACACACACACACACACACACACACACACTCACACACACACACACACACACAAATAAGGTAGATAGAAACGCGATATAATTTCCATTAATTCTCAGGTATATGGGGTGATTATATTATAGCATTGAGTAATGACTGAGACGTTAATCTTGAATCAATGTCTTGCTATATTAACTTGAAAAGAACATTTGTGGAAGTAATAATAATACTAATAAAGTTTATTGGAAGATCACGCTTCATCCCCAAAGGCTCGAAGCGCGGTACAAAGTCAACCCTATTTAAAGAGAAATTTAAAAATCTATATTATACCAAATAAAAATACAAAATGCAACACTACAAAAAACTAGACACGAGAAAACCCATTCTAAGTATTTCATACCTTGCAACCATAAACAACACAGGCCAACATTACATATAGGACAGTGGTTCTCAACCTTTCTAATGCCGCGACCCCTTAATACATTTCCTCATGTTGTGACGACCCCAATCACAAAATTATTTTCGATAACACTTTATAACTGTGGAGTGTATGTGTCTTCAGATGGTCTCACGCGACCCCTGTGAAAGGGTCGTGTGACCCACAAAGGGGTCGCGACCCACAGGTTGAGAACCGCTGATCTAGGAGATAATAGCTACCTGGAAAAGATGATAGACAACATCACCAAATGTTACGATTCTTCTAGAATAAGATCCCCGAGTTGAATGTTTGGGGAAATAATTCCAAGATTTGGCCCCGGTATTATGGCCCTATACTGCAGTTCTTGGTGAAAATGTGTATTTTTTTATTCAATGAATAAAACTTAAAAAGCCATAATATATCTATCTACTCTTAAGGATATAAAAAAAAAACTATTTTTCTTTACAGAATAAAGCAAAATTACTTTACATAATTTTTTTTTAAATTCAAATTTAGAGATAATATAAAATGGTGCTTCTCTGGACACTTTGCAGAATGATAATTTAGAGCGAAGTCAAAGAGACTGAAACACGTTTTACCTCAAAATATACTGCACATCTAGGACAGTATAATTAAAGCCATTAAAATAATAAAGTAATGGTAGTACTTTGAAACAAAATATTCATTAGAAATTACTGAAAAAATAAACATATTATTTAGCCTTATCAACTTTAAATTTAAATTGTATAGGGGTGTCCTAACTTTCTGCCCGATGGTCACATGTACATAGCGATTACTTTTAGTATTTCAATAAACTTATTTTTATATATAGTATCCGTTAAATTTTGCAAATTTATAACAATAAATCACTCATTACAAACCTTTGATAATTTGAAATGACCATGAACTAATCAAGTATTGATTACGAGAAATCGGCCATTTAAAAACTTTGCATTTAGATGATCTGATATCCTCAAGTGCACTTAGAAACGTCTTCTTTATTTTTGGGCATGCTCGCACATGTGTGGCAAACCACTATTGCAACGACGAGAGAGAAGATATTCAAACACTTTGGCTGTCTCTTTTCTACTCCCTTTGTGAGATTAGACACCGGCTGTACCATTAGACGCCGGCTGTACCATTAGACGCTGGCTGTGCCATTAGACGCTGGCTGTACCATTAGACGCTGGCTGTACCATTAGACGCTGGCTGTACCATTGATGTCATTACAAGGCGGTATTTATTGCTGTGTTGCCTAGTAGTTTTACTTATTCTTTTAATTTTTTAAGTAATAATTTTCTAGTTTTTTTTAAAAACCATTTTTGTGTGTGTGCAAAACTTTTAATTAAAAATTAGTATAAATTAAAATTAATTAAAAGTGTATAAGATTAAGTAGATAAATAATAAAGAAGTATATCAGTATAGAAAAGTTTGACATGAAACGTTTCTTTCCTACTCAGGTAATCGACAAAACTGTTCGGCTATGAGGCTGTTGCTACAAGTGCTGGTTCTTGTTTTAATCGCCATACATGAAGTGAGATCAGAAGGTAAAATAAATTGATTTTGTTGCTTATGAATTTTCTGGAATGGTTTTCAAAGATTTAATCATGATAACTTGATCTTAATTTATGTATGGGTTAATCAAAAGAGGATTATCAGGAATATTAAATGCAAATTTATGGCTATCTAGAAGTCCCACAATAAAGATCAGAAGCTTGTGTGCATGAACTTAAAATTATAACTATACTGCAACTATTCTACGTCTATCAAAGAATGGTACGCTATGTTATATTTTGACGAAGTTAAAGGTGTATGCCTTTCCTCACAATTCTTGAACAAAATGAAATGGTTATTTACAGGCCAAAGTTTGGACTAAATTTTCAAAAACTATCTAGCAACTGTTCAAAGATACCCGTATCTCCTGTTCAAGTTCAGCGATTAATATGACCTCGCGACAGTTTTTTTGACAAGTGCCTCTTGAAAAAGGCTCGAGGATGAGATCAAATATTTTCTGTATTCTATCTCCATTTATGCTCAGTTCGCACGATCAAATTTTCGTCAGATTTCTTTTTACACGCAGTATTTAGTAAACAAAAAAAATGCGTACAAAAAGAAATTTGATGAAAATTTGATCGTGTCAATTGAGCATTACAGTAAACTCTTATTCAATTGCGTAATAATATTGATTTAAGCCACACTTTGTTCATGACTTATGATTATTGAGAATGGCCAATAACTTTTAAAACGTTTAAATATTGTTCCTTAAAAATATTAAAATCCATGTATTCTATGATACCCTTGACGTTGATGAAAGCCATCATGATCTGACCTAAGATTTAACTTAGTGTATCGGTATAATAAATTTGACAAGTCCTCCTGATCACCTATATGTGTTCACATACAAACATTATAATATGTTATGTCTAATCTGTCGTCCGCTCTTCTCACATACAAACACACTGCATTATAAGATACACTATTTCTAATCCGTTGTCTGTCTTTCCTCTTGACAAAAATGTGAACATTAAATCAAAATTGAAAAACAAAATTAGTCATGTGACTATCAAATTGTCTATTTGGCTATTAAAAAGATTTTGTAATCACTGACTCAGAAACCCTCATTGACAAATACTTACACAGACACCCAAACACAGAAAAGCACACAAAGACACACTGACCAAAATAAAATCACCTGTAATGTGCGCTAGGGCTGTAAGTAATAACTGAAATCGTTTTAAAATAGCGGCCTTGTGATTATTCCATATTCACGGATAATGCAAGACAGATTATATAACAAGTAAATAAGCTAGCAAAGCTAATATATTTGAACGTTGTCAAGCAGCCTGCCAGGTGGGATGGTTTGGATCAAGATGTCAATACAAGTGTCACTGCACCAGAAATAGTTGCCTGGATAACGGGGCATGCCAAGATGGCGCTGAATGTCAACTAGGCTGGTTTGGACCCGGATGTCAATACCGTAAGAATTTTTTTTTTAAATAAAAGAACTAGGAAGACAGTGGTTAATCAACGGAATGTTTTTGACAAGTCATGTACAATACATAAATTAAGACGTAACAGGGAGCGGTCACACACTCTTTCTCTCTCACACACCCACAACAGAGAGAGAAAGAGAAAGTGAGAATTAGGGAGAGTTAGCGGTGCTGATAGACATTAAAAGAGATATATAGACAGAGGGTAACATAGAAAAGAGTGTTGTAAAATACTCATTTAATTTATGACAACATTTCTTAAAACCAAAATTATTTATACTATAAATCATTTTATTTACATATACATTTTTCGAAAACAAATGCCAAGTTAGTAAAAAATCTTCACTAATGTATGTAATGCGGTTTAATTTTAAGCCATTGAAGATAAGTCTTGACTTAATAAATAAAGCTATTCTCTCTATAACAACAAATTGCATACTGAGTAATGCATGCTCAACTGGAGCGATCAACCGTGTTTCTTTCATTACTAGAGGATCTTTCTGTCATGGCGAATCTATCAATAACACCTGCCCATCATGGATCTTCTGTATTAACTGATGGGGCAGACGATACCTGCATCTTCAACGTTGAATCTATCAACGTAGTTTGGAAGACACCCTACCTATTGACTTGGATCCGGATTGTAGGTGAGAATCTTCGCCTTGTGTCATGATATATTCAGTTCTCATACAGTGTATAAGTACTGGAGATTAGTTGAATTGATTACATCGTCTTCGGCACCCGAACTGCCGTCATTGCGGACAGTCGCGGGAGACAGTGGACCAGTTACTAGCCGAGTGCACCATAGCAACAAGTGGAGGGGTTGGGAACACCGCAGTCAACCATGTAGAAAGTCTGATTTACAGCTATGCCCAGAATGTGCGGCATAAATAGCAGTGCCTGCCGGGGCCATAAAAGAGCAATAGCTTGGTTCCATTCCATAAACTGAATGTAATATTTAGTGTATAAATAAATAACCTATAGCGTCAGTTTTAAACTGAACACGTGACAAATGCACCATTTTATCAACTATGTATATTAACTTTTTATGTTTTCGCTGTAAGGAACACATCAGCCGTTCACACTGCGCTTCAAGGAGAATCCAGCTTCAGCTTACAAGGACTGCCTCCACGTGAAGATAGTTGAAGTAAGCGGAACACTGGTTCAAGACGTGTACTGCACAACAAATACCACTGTAACACAGCTGACACTAGCGTGGAGTCAAAACGTTCTGGTTTGTTCTCTGTACGTGAGTGGAGGTCAGTATAATCTACGTTTTCAATTAAGATATAATTAATAAGTTTGATGGCTCATGTTTGTGGTGATTATTTTTCTCTAATTTTAATTCGTAAGCATTTTTTTTAATGGCTAATAGCAATTATTCTATAAAAAAAATAATGAAGTCTTTGTCAAGATGTTATTATACATTCAATTTAATTCATTGCAAGAAGTTTTTCAGAGTTATTAAAGGCTACAAAATAAATGTACTGGATAACTTAGAAGGTGACAAAAACAAACTAATATTGCAACTCACATTGTGACTAGCATTGGGAATAAGATAGTGGCAGCCATTGGACCCTAGATCATGACGGACATAGTGATCAAAATGTTAATGCACCTGGTAATTAACCTGGTAACTGTAATCTTGTGACAGAGTTTGGCGATCCTGTGACATGCGTGTAGGAGCATGCACGCAAAGCTCTCTTTGTTGACGCTCAAGCCAAATTGTCACAGCAACAGAGTGTTGGCTAACAGGTCACACGTGGGCCATGCGTGCACTTTGTTTTGGTGTTTTTCTGTCATTTTAAGACAAAAGATGTCAATGTGACAATTTAAAAGAAATCTTATCTAGAACCGAGGTATTTAGGTTTAATATATATATATATATATATATATATATATATATATATATATATTAACTTTGCAATAAATAAGTGCGGTTTGTGTTTCAGTTGAGGCAATCGATTCTGTTAGCACTGTACTATTACTGCATGATGCCTCAGATGGCTACTCTCATAAAAATATAAAAAAAATCATATCTAGAAACGATGTATTTATATATAATATATATATATATATATATATATATATATATATATATATATATATATTAACTTTGCAATAAATAAGTGCGGTTTGGGTTTCAGTTGAGGCAATCGATTCTGTTAGCACTGTACTATTACTGCATGATGCCTCAGATGGCTACTCTCATGACTAAGATGATGAGCTACATTATTTCTTCAATCATTCCAGGCAGAAACGTCGCATTGAAAGAAACCTCGACTCAATCATCGACTATTATTAGCTCTACTTTGGCCGGGCTTGCCGTTGACGGTCTGACCACCACGTACTCACACACGGACACCGGTGACAAAACCCCATTTTGGCTTTTGACATTTTCAGCAGCTCCGCTTATCAATCGATTTGTTATATACAACCGTGCAGGTAAATATATTTGTCATTGATTTAGTGCAGGCCTGCACAACTCAAAAAGTAAGGCGCGCCGTAATACTTTATGAAAAACTTGTGCGGGCGGTAATGTTGTGTGAAAAGCTTGTGCGGGCTGAATGATGATAGGACAGGGAGGGGGGGGGGAAAGCTATCAAGAAAATAATAATAATAAAGAATATTTCGTTAGTTCGCGAGCCGCCAAGTGGGTGCTGGCGGGCCGTATGTTGTGCAGGCCTGATTTAGTGCATGAGCAGGTCAATTTAAATGATGAATATGATTGTATAGTTTGTTAATGAACGAACTCAACTGTGTGTCAGATTGCTTTTTAATGTTAACAAAAATGTGGAAATATCCAATAATAGGTGTAGCCAGGGGGGCTACAATGGGTAAAGGCCATTTGATAAGGAATATGATGGTAAGAGAAGCTAGTAATGTTAAAAGGATGTTGTTGTACTTCGAAGTGTCTTGCAGTGACTGTCAATGGGATATTCCCATTTAATCCAGAGCTGCAAACTCAGCAACCGTTCACACGGTGTTTCAAGGAGAATCCAATCTCAGGTAACAAAGAATGCCTCCACGTAAAGACAGTTATAATAAGCGGAACGCCAACTCAAGATGTGCACAGTGCACCAGATGTCACTGTGACGCCCAGGAGTGGAATATGACTCTCCCGCCAACTTAATTCATAGATACAGACTGACCGCAAACTGTGGTTCCTGGGGCTGAAGTAATTTTACACAGAACATTTGTGACCACACATTATTTACAACATCTAGGTGTTGTTGTTTTTTTTAAAGTAGACACTGAATTCAAGTCGTGTGAAAGAAATATTCAGAACACGATAATTTTTAGACTTGAATAGGAAAACAAATATTTAAAGAAATCTATCTTATAAGATAAGATAAGATTATTTATTAATCCAAACAAATGGGAATTTTTTATGATTGCATTAAACATTTTCAGCACCTAAATAAAACTATTTGAACACAAGATATTTATAATAAAAAATTATTCACCAGTGTGGCGAAATGTGGTCAATGGGTTAGGTCCGTCTTCCAACAGCCACAGACAAGAACACTTTCGAATCAGAACCTAAACTCCGTTTTCTTTCTCTCTGATAAAAACTTCCCGATATGGTTTGAAATAAAAGAATACTTTAATAATGCATGTGGTGTGCCGAGACACAATGCACAACAAACCAACCAGCAACAATACTGTTCACATGTGAAACAATGGAATTTCCAGGATCCAGTGCAACAAATCAGTCACCCATTTCTTAAAACAAATACAGACTGACGTCCATAAAAATTCTCTGCATTTATATCACTTCTCAGCACCAATATATCGCACCACCGGAAATGTGTCATTGCGCTTTCATGGCTGAGAAAAAGTGGTGCGGACACATGGGGAAGTCCCTAAAGAAAACACCATTGCTCACTGAAACAATTATTAACCAGACACATAACATAAACATGCGTTATGACCGTGACAACTAGTAAAAAAAAACACCCCCCCCAAAAAAAACACAAAAAAACAGCCCTTCAGTAAATTTTCTTAGCATATCTTGGACTTCTTAGTTCTTATTAAGATTTGTGATTTTAGGGGGAGCACGCTGGTAAATTCGTACAGATCGGGGAACAAAAGAATTTGTATATCTATCAGTCCTCGCCCTGATGGAAAGAATTCGTGCCGAATGGGCCAATCCTAAGTATATGTGACAGAGAGCAGTGCTACTCAAAGAGGTCGTCCTCGGACCGGTGTCGGTCCACGAGCCTTACCTTACCGGTCCAAAGAGCATGAATATTGATGTTTAAATAGTAAGAACATGAAAATTAATAAATCTGGCACCGGTCCCTGGTGCAGTTTCGAAACGTGTCCACCGGTCCGTGAAACTTAAAAGTTTGGGAGACGCTGATATAGAGGGTTTGATGTATCATCCAAAATATGTTTAGTTATACAATATTGTATCTGAGAGCAAATTCCCATGTCCTATATCTGAGGTCCAGCCCCGGAGTGAATGGTATTGTTCTCGCTCAAAGATGATTTCACAATACATGCTCCGGTTTAGCCATTTCTTGTGACTCAATTCTAGGTTTTTAAAATGTATGTATCAATAGGACGTACTGATAAAAACTTATAAATATTTTCGTAGCATTAGGTCACAGTATTACCCACTGAACTTTTATTTTTTAAGACTTTCCGATACGCCTTCGAGGATTCTCAATCGATGTCTATAACAAGAACTCAACTCGCATCTTCAAGTACACAGACACAGATCCTACTGCGGAACTAGTATACTTTGTGACATTTACGAGACCGTTCGAGCCGGTTTCACAGGTGAAGATAAGTCTCCCATCAGAGTACCTGCACATAAGTGAAGTAGAGATTTACGGTGGTGAGTGTCTTGTTCAATGTACTTGTGGAGTTGTAATTTTAAGTTACTTGAACAGTTGCATCTTAATTTATCTTTAAAAGGCAGTAGCGCAACGAGAGGGGGGTGGGGCGATGGGGAGACCGTAAATAGTGGTGCGTCATCAAAATATTTTCCTTAAGATACCTATTAAAAATAAACTTGAGTAAGATTTACTTTTTGAATACAAATGTTTTCTATTTGTTAATCTTTAATACTATCTGTCCCATCATGATCAGTACAAGTTTCACCTTTGCTAAAATTCCTATTTCAAAGTGAAAAATAAAGGAGTAAAAATAAAACTGTCAGACAATCGCAACACCAATCTGATTTATGTTAACTTTAGCTAGGATTGATTTATTTTATGAATTAAAAATTTGTAGATTTACAATTTTAAACTCCATTAATTGCTGATTTTTATCACGCCAATTTAGCATTGAATAAGATTTGTCTATTATTGTAATGATTAGTTAAGTTGACCGAAAATGCCCAACCTTCGGAGAAAGATTAAAAAAATAGTGTCATCCGGGGCGCACCGTCCTGGTCGGCACCTCCTTCTTACGCCCCTGATGGCATGGTAAACTGCTAGTACACATCAGTTTTCTTTGGTTGGTGGGAGGGGGGGGGTCTTGGGTATATCCTCAACGTTCCTTGCCCGATATAGGTCATTACTTTTCAATTTTTTTAAATTTAGATCTGTCTCAGTGTGAGCCGTTCTTTTAAAAAATGATTTAATGAGACTAACATAAGTTATTTCATGACATTGTGTTATTGTCTTTCCATGTCCAGATTCATCATGTCCAGCTGGATGGTATGGTCCGGAATGCAACAAGAAATGTCAGTGTTCAGATCCAGGTGAGGCGTGTCTCGTGATGACTGGCGGATGTTCTTCTGGGTGCGCCCCTGGTTACCATGGTGACAGTTGTGATCAAGGTCAGAATAAATAAAATGATTTCACTGGCTGGAATTCATCGAAATCATCAATCGGATTGCGCTGAGTAATATAAAAAAATTCCGATTGCCGATTAATCATCCTACTAAATATTGCAGTTGGTGAATAATTGGCTTCCTATTATTTTTAATTTTTGGCTTAAAATGCCTACTGCAATTATATGTTTTAGAATGAGATCATTCCTTATATTGTATTATTTATAACAATAATTCGGCGTTACGGAAAGTTGCGGTACAATATTTTAACCTGCCAAGAAAGAGAAGCGAGCGTTACTCAGTCTCCCATACATTTAAACTTTGCGCCTAGACTGAGCGGACCCTCATCATAGTACAAAATTACTTTGAATGACGTGACTAGATCTTTGTCATTGAAAAGAGTATCGCCTTTCAAACATGATGAAATAAAAAGATTAACCACCACCCTCCCACCCTGCATTGCATGGCCCCCGCCCTTGTGTACCACCCCCCCCCCATTTTAAATGTAAACAAGTTTGTATTTAATCTTAATTCTTTGAGAGTACTGCACAATCCATTTCATTATAGACGCTATTAATAAACTACATCAAGGCCAATAACAAACTACCATGTGACGTATCATGCTAGGATATGAAAAAAAGAATATACAGCTCATATCTAGAAATATTTTCAGCAGGCCAATTAGCTGATCAATCTTTCTTTTTTTTTTAAGGCAATTATGGATTATTCGGAAAAATGGTGACTTATCTACAGAATTATCTTTGCAACCCTAAAAGTGAAGGCCTAAGACCCTTGGACTGTATCTGTAGAGTTTTCAGGGTATATGTAATAAAATCCGGTTAGATGGGATTAGTGTACATGTTTTTTTTTATGAGGAATATTTCTTTGACTATGACATTATTAGTCAAGTAAATCCTCAACAAACTGTGATGTATAATCTAAAATGTCACCATTGCTGGTCAAGGGATGAGCCAAAAGTCACTGTCTTCAAAATGCTTGGTTAATGATGTGATTTCGGGGTTTGTACTGCATTGTTGATATTCGACGCCATTTTTGTTACCACTTCCTGTCTTACTTGAAGCGTAGCAAAACTCTATTGCTGTGTGTGCTCTCAGACTGAAACACACGGAGTGACTTGTGGTATGTTCAAATACAATATTACACTATATACAATTGTGGTAACGGCTCTGGTCAATAAATTGTTCATTTTTGATGCCGAGAGACCAGAAATAGGCCTTATATTTGACAATTTGGACTTCAGTAGGAAGACAGTTTTCCGCATAGCTGGTACTGCTCACTGTGTGTTTATAGACATTTTACATAGAGCATCCCGATCATGCTCTACTCAGAGGCCCTTAGGCCGTCAAAAACTGGTACTATTGTATCTGGCCTGCATCCTCCTGGCAAATTCGTACTCTCCTGAACCCAACCCTGGACCGAACGTTACTACTAGTGCTGGTTCTCCCTTGCATACCCCATCAAGTTCCAAATCCCAGTCATCATGGATCTGCGGAGCATGTGACCATGTTGTACATGTGGAGGACAGAGGCGTTGCCTGTGAACAATGTGGGCAATGGTTCCATCGTCAATGCCAAAGCATCGACACTTCTAATTACAACCAACATGCTAAAAATTCTGACGTGCCATGGCACTGTACTGTCTGCGGCAGCCAGATTAACCAGTCTGTGTTTGACCCACATAGTGCAGGGACAGACTCTACCTTCCCAGATTTCTCTCTGAACCACTCAATCTCCACACCAAGAGACATTCGAAGTTTTCAACCACCACACTGCTCTACTCCTATGCGCTGCAGTCAACAAGACAAATGGAGACACAGGCCATTGCGCATATTAAATGTAAACTTCCAGTCTGCAAGTGGTAAGCGAGTAGAGATAGCTAACCTAATTAACAGCCTAAAACCCGACATCATCTTGGGCTCAGAAACATGGCTGAATCCCTCCATAGCAAACGCAGAGGTTGTACCAGATATATACAAAGTATTTCGTCGAGACAGAAAAGACAGAGGAGGAGGAGTGCTTGTTGCAGTCCATCACAACTTGGACTGCCACGCTGTTCCAGAACTCGATGTTGACGACTGCGAGATCCTGTGGGTAAAATTGAAACTAAAGGGTAGACGCACACTCTACGTGTGTGCCTATTATCGACCAAATACAGCAGATGAACCAAGCCTGAGGAGGTTCGAGGTATCGCTTCACAGAGCAACACAGTCAAAAAACGCTTTTCTCCTTATAGGGGGGATTTTTAACTTTCCTGGTTGGAATTGGCAGATTCCTGCCTTGAAGCCCAAGTCCCCATACCCTGTTCTACACTCAGAATTCATGGAGATAATTAACAACCATGGTCTGGAACAGCTGGTTAAAGAACCCACGAGGGGGGAAAACACTCTTGACCTACTCCTCACCAATTGTCCACATCGTGTCCAAAAAGTTGAGGTCATCCCCGGGATTTCGGACCACAGCATTCCTTATTGTGAATTTCAGGTCAACACACTAAAAATGAAACAAATCATTCGAGAAATCCCAATTTATGCCAAGGCAGACTGGGATGGCCTAAGGATTGCAACCACAGAGCTAAGCTCAAACATGAAGGTGATTCAAGGTACAGCGACAACAGACGAGCTGTGGGAGAAGTTCAAGACTACAATCACTGATGCAGTGAAGAAATTTATACCACACCAAATCACCAAACCTAGGATAAATCAGCCATGGGTCACGGCTGAAATCCGTAGGCTCATCCACAGGAGAGACCGCCAATACAAACGCATGAAGAAAAATGGCTCGATGGAACTGAGAGAGGAGGTACTGAGACTCCGCCGAACCATTCAACGCTTATTGCGTAGATCGTATTGGAACTACATGAACGGCATCTTCTCAGAGGAAGACACCCCGACCAAAGATGTCAAGAACAAGCGCTTCTGGAGCTATGTGAAACACCAAAAGTCCTCAAACGCTGGAGTTTCCCCCTTGAGGTGGGATGGCCAATTGACATCTGACCCAAAAGCACAGGCGGAGATACTCAATCAGCAGTTCCAGTCGGTCTTTGGTGACGGTAGAGAGTACTCTGAGACTGAGTTCCTTCTGAAGACCAAAATGATGAACAGAGCCTATCCTATCATGGGAGATATCCAGATATCAGAACAAGGTGTGTTTGCCCTCCTCAATACCATTAACCCTTACAAAGCATGTGGTCCTGACAACATTAAACCACGAGTGCTCAAAGAATTAGCCAAAGAAATCGCTCCTGCACTGACAATCCTCTTCCAATCGTCACTATGCACAGGAAATGTTCCAGCAGACTGGAGAACAGCGCATGTCACTCCAATTTACAAGAAAGGGGAGCATTCCGACCCTGCCAACTATCGTCCGATATCCCTCACTAGCGTCGTCTGCAAACTGTTGGAGCACATAATCGTAAGCTCTGTCATGAAGCATCTTGAAAGCCAAAATATACTCAATGACTGTCAACATGGCTTCCGAGTCAATAGGTCATGTGAGACCCAGCTTCTCGAATTTGTAGAAGACTTGATGACCAATCTGGAGAACCACAAGCAGACTGACGTGCTAGTAATGGACTTCGCAAAAGCATTTGACCGGGTGAATCATAGTTTGCTTCTACACAAACTCCAGATATATGGGATTCAAGGCACCACTAAAACATGGATCTCTAGCTTCCTCAGCCACCGACGCCAAGCAGTAGTGGTGGGCGGTACAAGCTCCTCCTTTGTCAATGTGAAGTCAGGGGTCCCCCAGGGATCAGTCCTGGGCCCCTGTTTGTTCCTAGCATACATTAATGACCTACCGGAGAAACTGACATCACAGGCAAGACTGTTTGCAGATGACACAGCAGTGTATAGGACGATCGCCAACAGATCTGACCAGGACCAGCTACAACAGGATCTCAATCTGTTAGCTGAGTGGGAGATGAGCTGGGACATGGAATTTCATCCTGCCAAGTGCCAGACACTATCAATCTCTAGAAGTTGTACTCCTCTACACTACCAATACAAACTGCACGGCCATATTCTTGAGCAAGTTTCCTCCGTAAAGTACCTGGGTGTTACCATTCAAAGAGAGGTCCGCTGGGACGAGAATATTAACAATGTATGTAACCAAGCAAACCAAGCCTTGGGGTTCTTAAGGCGAAATCTAAAGATTGGCAACTCCTGTGTGAAAGAAAGAGCATATAAAGCATTTATCCGTCCGATTTTAGATTATGCATCTTCAGTCTGGGACCCATTTAGCCAGAAGAGCATTGACAGGTTGGAGGCGGTCCAGCGACGAGCAGCACGTTTTGTCCTAAACCGCTACAGGAATACCTCTAGTGTTGGCAGCATGCTAGAAACACTAGGCTGGTCACCATTGGAGAAACGACGACGACAATCCAGGCTCTCCATGATGTACAAGATAAATAATGGAAAACCCCTAGTGCATAATTTCCTCATCACCACCAGTAACAGAAACATTGCAAATCCCATCTACATGCATAGGAGCCAAAATGATCAATAAATTGATCGTGGGCCCTTAAGATATAGAAGAAGAAGAAAACCGAACCATAATTTAGGCTGTTTCAAATTACAATGACAGCAACAATTGTGAGCACTTGAGTTGTTAACTAACTTCTATTTCTTGTCGTATTTTAATTTTTCCTGTCTGGCGAGGAAGGCTCTTAGCCGAAATGTTCTGTTTTATTACCCTGTCCTTCGATTCATCATTAAAGCTTCCACGATTCAAGCTTCCACGATTCAAGCTACTACGATTCAAGCTTCTAAGATTCAAGTTTCTACGATTCAAGCTTCTACGATTCAAGTTTCTACGATTCAAGCTTCCTCGATTCAAGCTTCTACGATTCAAGCTTCTACGATTCAAGCTTCTAAGATTCAAGTTTCTACGATTCAAGCTTCTACGATTCAAGTTTCTACGATTCAAGCTTCTACGATTCAAGCTTCCACGATTCAAGCTTCCACGATTCAAGCTTCCACGGAACCTTGTTATACTATTTCCTTCAAATTACACGCGGTGAAAGTTATAATACAAATAATAATAAAATAGATAAAATGATGACCTAAATTTTGTACCGTCTCCTGGAAAATTGCAATAAATGTCTAATTCTCTTTCCATCAATATTATGTACCATTTTATATGTTGCTCTCTTTTGTTTGTTTGATTTGTTTGTTTCCAGAATGTTTGCCCGGCTTCTGGGGAGTCAACTGCCTCCAGAGATGTCGAAGTCTTTGTTATGGTCACATCTGTGATAGAATAACTGGACGCTGTGTACAAGGTTGTGTGCAGGAAAGCAACTCCCCAGAATGCAAAGTCGGTGAGACACAGAGTGTTATAGAATCGTACACAGAGATGAACATAGAATGACATAGAGGTGTACATAGAGATGTACTGGTACATAAATATGTATACATAGTTTTAAATAGCTTTGTTTTACAAATATCAAAAGTTTATCGAGCACTCACCATATCGGGTTCTCTTTTGTTTCTAAGATTGTGACAGGGGCTGGTTTGGAGCAAACTGTCAGTATAAATGTCACTGCACTAACAAAATGTGTGACGAAAGTGGCCTCTGTCTGAATGATTCTCATTGCGAGTTAGGCTGGTTTGGCCCCGCATGTCAGTACCGTAAGTGCCCTTAATAACGTAGCAAATGCAGGCAGTAAAAACTATAATAGTGATTTACTCCATCTTTAAGTTTTATCAAAAGCTTTTTATACTGTTTGGAATATTTCCCGTTACTACACAGAGGATCGCAGCCAAGCAGGCAACCTGACCATGTCACAGCACAATGTATTGCTTGTCTCTGACGGAGATGATGAGTCGTGTGTTCTAAATCTGGCATCCATCGTTATAGAATGGACAACCCCAATTCCATTTACTTGGCTACGTCTTATCGTCCTTGAACCAGGTAATCATGTACTTTAACCTGATAATCATGTACTTGAACGAGGTCCTTATGTACTTGAATGCGGTAATTATCATATTTGAACCAGGTAATCATGCGCTTCTCTAGTTTTATACACTTAAAAATTGTGTGAATTATCATTTATTGTATGTAGTTTTTTTTTTTAAAGAAGTTCATTGGTTTCCAGAGGGTAAGCATTGCTGTTACGACAGCGAGTTTAAAGAGCATAATCTTGTGAACTCTAGCAGTTAAATCAAAGGCTAAATATAACCTATGTTGAATTAACTAAGCCGTGTAATGTTTAAATATGCTCTACGCCTCTCCTCAACATACCAACATCACGTAACATCAACATTAATTTTCATTTTAAACTTTAGACACCTTCCCTATTTACCTCTCCCGTCTCATCAGACCTAAATTATTTTCACTTATCTTTCTGAGCCTTTAGACATGCTGGCGAAAATGATGTCTTGAAGTACAATTCTATGATTTTTCTCTTTCATATTTTATATATAAAGTATCAAACAATAAGCAGATGTATTGGATAATACATTTTCAGATTATCACGACCTTGTAACGTTCCAGTTCAAAGCTGGTTCAGCTGATGGTAGAATATTGAACTGTACAAACCCAAGGAAAGATTTGATTGACAGAAGAACTACGGACTTTTACTGTGATATTCATGTCACTGTCAGTCAACTAATTATTCATCTCAACGAGAAGCGATCTGTCTGCTCTGTGTATGTCAGCGGAGGTCAGTAACAGTTAATGCATTGTATGACATTATGTAATGGAATATACACACCTTTGCGGCTTGCTGAGACCAAATACCCAACCATTTGTAACATTAACACACATTCAATCAGATCTTTACATTCAATATTTATTTTCTATGTATGCATCCGAATCAGTAAATGTTTTTTTTTTAAATAGCTTTTCCAAAAATTTAAAAATTTTTAACCAGTAACCCCCCCCCCCCCAACCATTTTATATCAGATACTCATTTTTCGTGCCGAAAAATATGACCTTTTGTAAAACGGTTTGTTTGATAAAACATGGCGACATTTCGTTTCTTCCTTTTTCTTGTATTACTTTTGAAGTCAAATAACTCGAGTTTTTCATTTTCCTTTCCCTTACCCTCATTTTAGATCAGGTGCAAAGCGCTTTTCCCTTAACTTTATGCTAAACCATCCATACTTTGTTTACCATAATGCATTTTTTTAATATTGTATCAACAAAATATACAAAGTATAAAATTTTTCTGTTGAAGCTAATTGAACAGTCGTGTTTGTTTAATTTGTAGGTAGAAATGTTTTCTGTTTAAGCTAATTGAACAGTCGTGTTTGTTTAATTTGTAGGCAGAAATGTAGCACTAAGACAATACGCATCTCAATCGTCCACTTATTCCAAGATGGGTTACAATCTGGCCAGGGCACTAAACGCGGTTGACGGGTCAACTCTCAGTTCTTACAGTTCCGGAAGTTGCTCTCGCACTGACGTTGAAGATCCCAATCCTTCCTGGACACTTTCATTTCAAATCCCTCAGATTGTAAACAGACTCGTCATTTACAATAATTATGAGATAAATGGTAAGTCTCAGCCTTATGTATACAAGTCCTTACTAGATGTTACTTCATATGTTATCATTTATTGTAAGTGATACTTTTTTTTAAATCTAAAATCTATCGCAACAAAAATTAATACATTTATTAAAAATTGGAATTTTTTTAAAATTTCAAAGCATGCATTATATGCATTCAATAAAATATTTAATTAAATCTACATATTTAATTAATATTTTAAAAAAAAATCTTATTCCCTCTTATCTTGAATTATTACTTCAAATACTATTCGCTTTTTAATTTTTTTTTAAAATTTTGTACAAGACACACATTGCTGCCCTGGAGGTCTGCACGAGTTCAAAATTACAAGCTCTAACGGTGACGTCATTTATGAATTCAACTCTTCTGACGTCACCCTTAAACACCCACAAAAAATGTACAACATATTGGTATCATCCATCAACCAAGACCCCATCACATCCGTTACTATTGAGTCGACTGTCACGGATGACTTCCACACGTTTGAACGTTTCATAGCTCTCTGTGAGGTGGAGATTTATGGGGGTAAAATTTGTGTTGATTTTGTTTGAGATAATCAACAGGGAAATGTAAGAATACATGTATACCCAAATAATCATTCATTAGCTGCCGCCATGGGCGCCCGCACAAAACTTTCTAAGGGGGAGGGGGGCAAAAATCGATGAACTTTCCAGGGGAAGGGAGGAGGTGGGTATTTTTTAGTAATGTTTTAATGTAGTTTTAATTTACTGTAGAGTATATGTATGGTGAACGAACGGACAGGACATCAGCTTAGTTACTTTCTCTTTATTTTCTCTTTACTTTAATACATTTTTTGTCTATTTTTTCTAAAAAATTTTTATCCAATCAATATGGTGAACGAACGGACAGGACATCAGCTTATTTACTTTCTCTTTATTTTCTCTTTACTTTAATACATTTTTTGTCTATTTTTTCTAAAAAATTTTTATCCAATCAATCCGGGGGGGGGGGGAAGTGCCCCCCTTGCCCCACCCCTGCACCCCCCCCCTGCGGGGGCCCATGGCTGCCGCTATTTTGAAAAGACCAAAGTCTTCTTATAACGTGATCACGAATTTTTGATATTCTTATTTTGGAAAATATTTTCTTCTTATTTTTAAATATTAGATTTAAAGTTGTGGAGTCAACTAAGAATACACGTTAAATGAGACAAAATTAAACAAAGCCGAGTACTCTTTCATTTTAAAATAAAAAATTATAATAGGTCAACATTTTCCTAAAAAAAATGTCATATATTTTTTAGTCTCCATATTTTGTACAGCTCATGTTGTTTCTAAATATCTACTTCTATACTGACGAGATTGCGACTGACAGTTCCCCAGAAAATAAATAATTTAAGTCTTAGTTATATCAAGTATGATCAAGGAATAATATACTTTAAATAGTTAAACTTTAAAGTTTTGTGTGTGTGTGTGTGTCATTAGATTCGATGTGTCCGTTTGGGAAGTACGGCCGTGACTGCCGAGGAACGTGCAGATGTGCTGTAGATGGTGAGTCGTGTTTCGTCACGACAGGCGGATGCCAGTCTGGGTGTGCACCTGGCTACTACGGGGAAGGTTGTGTTAATGGTGAGTACAGGTATAACTTCATTCGGGAAGGTGTGCGAAAGAGTACGGTAATGTTTCTGGATTAAATGGAAAAGGTGCACACGTGCTAAGCACATTCGTGGCTTGGAGTGATAAGTACATTTATGGCTTGTAGTGATAAGAATATTCATGGCTTGAAGTTGTAAGAATATTCATGGCTTAGACTGGTAAGTATATTCATGGTTTGGAGTGGTAAGTGAATTCATTTATTTCTTCTGTGTGGATGGGTCTGTGTGTGGTAAGTACATTCCTTGCTGCTATGGAAAAGTTTTTGTGGTAGGTAGTACATTCGTGACTTCCATTAGGAAAGGTTTGCTGAGCATATTTTAAAACATTTGATTAAATGAAACTTTTTTTTTTACTAAATTGTATGAGTTACTGGACTGGACGTTACTGTATATATTAAACATATGCTTTGATTTGTTTCCCATATTCAGTGTGTCCCGAAGGAACCTGGGGTATTGATTGTCGAGAGAAGTGTAGCGTTGATTGCTTAAGTTTTTGCAACGTAAAAAATGGTGATTGTGACTTTTAGATTTTTATGTGATAATTTGCCCATGAACGATATATTTTCATAACTAAAGGCGTTTGTTTGATATATTACCCTCAGTGTATCAATAAAGTAACACATTCCCCATTTTACCTGTGGTTTAATACCACTTGTAAAAAAAAGTGGTGTGGTCCGTTGTTTTTCCCATAAAAACAAACCCGCTGCTCAAATCGTCTTTGATCCCTTTATGGTCTAAAATAGGAGTCAGCGTTTAAAAACAAAAACAGTTATTTTAATTTAGCAACTTGTAATTTTTTTCATGATGCTTTCAATGTAATGATTTTTTAAAAAAATCACATTGGTTTAAGGCTTAATGAGGTGTGAATTATTTTGAATACACTTCGTTTCTTATATAAGTTCTTTTATAGATTTTTTTTTCTAAAAATTTGGTCACTATATACAAAAACAAACAAATATTTCAAATCATATTTTATTTATTTTATATATTAAATTATTTCTATTTGAAACAATTTAAAAAATAATTTTATTTTATTTACAAAGCTCCATTCTTTACATTGTAGTTTAATAGATATATTTAAGGATTATGAAATGATTAGAAACAAATTTCTTTTCATTTTATTATGTTAAAAAATGATTTTTTTTTTTTGCATCATAAATTTCATGTATTTCCTGTACAGCTTTGCTAAATGTAGATTATAAACATTTTGTCGGTAGTTTATCGACATTGATTTATCAAGTTTCTGTGTTGATGTCACTCATTCCTTCAAATAACTGTCCCCCAACCCCCAACAAAGACAACAGCTGAAGATAGAGAGAAAATACTTTCAACAAAAAGCCTCTTTTGAGTCTTGATTCCATTAGTCATTAGACATTATCTCATCACACTGTGTTGACCGTTGAGTTACTCCCCTTTTATTTTGCACCATATTGCCTTGATTTTTAAATGGCGCCATGTCATTTGTGTAAGATTACTATTCCACGTACATTTTCAAGACCTCGTGAAGTGTTCTGTATTGATCCTAAGGGATATTGATGATTAGCTGAGTATTGGTCATATGGGATATTGATGAACAGTTAACTATTGATCCTATGGGATGTTGATGAATAGTTATCTATTGATCCTATGGGATAATGATGAAGAGTTGTGCTTTGATCCATGGGATTTTAATGCTTAACATAAGAATGACGAACAACTAAAATAATATTATTTCTGTTAATCAACTTATCTCTATTAAAAATGATACGTCATATTGCGTCATAGATATACTTTGCGCTGCCATGACTCACATAATATTACTTTTGTATTTTAGAAAATATATTTGTACGCGCATTTAAATTCAAAATTTACCTGATGAAAGGTGTTTTTTGTGTTTTTTTAAAAAGAATAATACCCAAAGTTTTAACTATCTTAATGGACTTAACTTTTTAAAATCTATTCAACTATGTTTCAAATAAACTTGTTTCAAATACTTTATCGCACATGGTGTAGGTAATTAGGAAACTATAACACACAAATCTTTAGATGTTGACCTACCAATGTTGGAATGATCTGTGGTCTGATAGACTTGATTGAACCAACAACCAAAGGAACATTCAAATATAAGCTGTTGTCCAGTCTGTCCAACAGGTTTATCAGAACACATGCAAGACCGCTGTAACGAGCGCCATCTCTGTGGGGTGAAATCATGCAACATAAGATAGCATTTAGAAATTAAAACAAACATTTTGTATCGAATCAGTGGTTGATCGTAAATAGTTCTCCTGCCAATCTCTTCTCAAACCTTAATCTTCTCTCTAGCAAAACTCGACATTGTTCTGATTTTAAAAGTCCCTTTTAAGTAGCATTTTCCACCAGGTGACGGTGCTTTTCGTGCAGAAACAATCTTAAGACTTCTGGCTTGGTCACCACGTTGTCAAGAGTAAAGCTTTTGTTGTCCCTATGCTGCAGTGGAAGATTAGCTTCCTCGCGTTGATCAGCCCAAAAGTAAAGGTAGCAGATGAACGTGAAATAACAGACATCATGTGAAAGACCTTGTGTTGTATGACAATAGTGCTAAGGTGCTGTGCTAGTGACGAATAGGCGGAAACATTTATTTTTGAGCATTTCTGGGTTGCAATATATTTTTTTTCAAAACTTTTATTTTTTTAAAATAAATAAAAATAATTGTTTATAATATTTTAAAGATATTAGATATTAGTAAAATATTGTTTTGTTAACCTATAAATGGGTAATACATCATTTTAATTTATTTTTAAAACTTTTTTTTACCAATTCAATTTATGTACATATAATCGCCCGACCACATCGTATAAGATATCAATGGAAAGCTTTATTTCTATGGATTTAAATAAATATAGCCTCCAGTCACTTAGGAAAGTTACCGAACACTTCAATCGGCGTTGTATCATGATCAAAATGATTTTTTTCTGACCTAATTATAATGTCGCCTCATTTCTTACGCATCAACCTCAAACTTTTGATAAAGTACGCATTTTGTTTTGGTTAAATTTGTGGAATATTTAAATTTGATCCATTATCTTTGAATAAAACTTTGTTAGACCCAGCAGTGAGTGCTTTGTAAATATGAAATGGTGTCACCCTGTCCGCACCCCCAGCTACGCAACTCTATAGAGTGATAGAATATATCAGATATGGTACCGACCTGCACATGAAAACAGTGTCACCATCACCTCGAGTATCATATGACCTTATTTGTTGGACGAAACTAAACATATTTTTGGCGTCCAATTCCGAAGAAGTGAAGCTCAAATGGGTCACGTGGTGCTCTAAAAATTGCTTTGAATAGATGAGTAAAAAGATGAGTAAATAGATTAGTAAATAGATAAGTAAATAGATGTGATCGTTTATTAGGTCACTTAGTAATCAATTTAAACATAGATTTTTTTATTTTTTTTTAAATGAGAAATATCATAGAAAAGGGAGAAAATAAAATAAAAATTGATTTGACTGACATCAGAAAAATTGAAAAATATGAATTGAACATTTATAAATTAAAGGATTTAACAATGTTCAATAAAAAGTTTCTTTTTTAGAATTTGTTCATTAAACAAAAATCTGCAATGTTAACCAGTCAATAAATACATGTAACAATATTTATTATTGAAGATAAGAGTATTATCAACAATGATATTTTTTTCATTAAATCTAACATGTATGATATTTTCTTGTTCCGATAATCTACAAGACTATCACAAATACCAGAAGATCTAGTAAGCTGAAGTTTCATAAACAATTAATTTTTATTTTACAAAGATGCTTTAATTTATGTCTGTCAGAAATGTTCAAACTGAGTTCCGTGAGTTTTCTGCGCCTGGTTGGTGAGGTTCTAAGCTTTTTATTTTTATAATTTTTGAAAAGTAAACTTTTAAAAAAAAAAAAAAGATAAAAAAAATAAACATTAAAAAATTTACCTTTAATTATTTAGTAACAAGAGAGCATAAGTAATCAATGAAATTTTATTGCTAATTCGTGAGATTTAAAGATTGTAAATTGATCACGTCGTTGCCTTGTAAAATAGCAATGAAGGCATACATTTCTTTAAAAGATTCAAATAGAATTCATAGGTCTGAAATTGCAAGAATTAAATTAGTAGCATTACAAATTAATGTCTTAAGCCTACTTGCAAATTTAGAAAATGAGATCATAAAGACCTACAAGCATAATCATAAATGATGACCTTCAGTATCAGAAAGCCTACAACCTGTTTCCTTTCATTTCACAAGTGCCGAGAGTTTTAAAGAGACTTTTGTTAATATTCTTTAGATGTGAAAAGACTATTCACATGAACAATTTACGAATCCCGTAATTGTAAGATATGGCTTATTAATTGGGAAACTCTTTTTGACAAAGCCAGGCCTCATGGATCTTTCAAATATGATATAGCTCCAAAGTCGTTTGAAAAAACAAAAGTATGCCATCTAACCCGATGCTGGACGAAACAGGTTTATGTCACGCCAAGTAAAGTTTTTCTTGCATTCTTGTTTTTACTCCCCAGCTCAGCTTGGTTCCCGAGACATTACTCTCAGAATCGTGTCCGGGAGAAAAGTGTGTTACGGATAGTATGTAATCATGTGGTACGGCAAAATATTGCGGTTAATGATAGAGGGGGCAGAGCGGAAATAATAGGAGTTGAGGGAGGCGAAAGCGCTGGAGTGGGCTGGACTTACGTGTGGGGAGAGCTCATAGAGTTGTACGCATTAAATTTTTTTGTGTGGAAAGTCACCAAGTTTATCATGGTCTTATAAAATCTCTTAGACAATTACTGTTTCTAATGTGTGAAAGAAAGTTTACTAATATTTACGGTTGATTTTGATGAGAGAGTCGCATGCCTGGCAGTTTTGATGGAGACCATCTCTTCTTCCCACTTAGTACCACGTCTCGAGAGCAATGTTTGGATTTGAAACGCTGGGAAAACCAAAGGCTCGGCACAGTCTTTCGGGAGATACTGTCCTATGCTCTCTGTGTGTGTATACTGGAAAGAAATAGAAAATAAATTAGAAACTTTTTATAAAATCCTAAATTATTTTCAATTAGAATACATTTATAAAAAAAAAAGTATAAATTAATATTGGTAAAATGACACTTCTTTAATGCGCAGAAATATATGAAAACAAAGAAATAGTTGTTTTATTTGGTTTGAGAACTACTCAAGTTACTATCAAGGATGATTGGGTAACATTTAAAAAAAAAATCTAAATAATAACTTGAATTAGGCCAACCTCATCTTCACAGTTCCAATCGAGTTTAAATGATACAACTAGCGACACATTTTGCTGCTTGACCATCGTCCAGAAATCAACAACTGTTGTTGGCATCGGCAGCTGGGTCAGGATGTGACCACGTGAATTTCTGAAGCTCTTTTCAATGACATGAATTAGTAAACTGAGGTTAAGAAAAATACATTGGAAACGTCCGAATAAGTTCTTCCCATCAAATTTCCTTTCCAGTTACATTGCCTTTTCTTAAAACAAGAAGTCAGATTGCATTGCAGTAGTTTTAAACAAGAAGTCAGATACCAATGCCTTTGTTTTAAACAAGAAGTCAGATGCCAAAAGTATCTAAATAATGCGTATGGTTAAAGGCATGAACAAAAACTCCTAGATAATTGTTCCACACCACTGGAGTGGTCTAAGTAGAACTGATTTACAAGTAAGTTAAAGATAAAACTAAGATGCATAAGGCTTAAGGACAGCACTAACATCGATGGCAGTTAAAGATAAAACAAAGTAGTAAGATACATTGACAGTTAAAGACAGAACGAAGATACATGATAGTTAAAGACAGAACAAAGATGCATGGCAGTTAAAGAATTCATTCAGGTGCGAGCCAACAACTACTAAGCAATTTTAATGGGCAAACGTTATTGAAGCAATCAAAAATTAGTTTCCTGTTTTATTATTCATTTGATTGTTTTTATTTACTCCATTGATTTCCAAGAACTTCAATTCGATTTTTAAAAAAATGTTATTCATTAAAAGGAAATTTAAAAACGCTTTTTAAACGTATACGTTTTTACAACAATTTACCGGTATACAGACAGCATTGATGTATTTATTATCCTGAGACTCCAGCTCGATTTGATGATTCTTACCTGCAATGTAAATAATTAAAGCTGTTATCAGATGCTCCTTATCTCGCCATTTTGCTAGGCCACAAATGCTTTTTTTAATAAGGGTTAGTTTATTATCAAATAAGGTAGGGTTTTTTGGGGGGTTAAATATTCTTTGTTTATACATAACTTTAAAAAATATATGTTTTTTTTTTAAATTATTGTTAGACTTACTTGGAAGGATTGAGGGAAATCTATTTTTAGGGTCTGGAGCTGCATGATTCTGGTAGATACTTTCATCGTTTATATGATTTATATCTTCCCTGCACTGGCTCTGTATCACTCCACAAATAGCCTGGTTTTACAATCAATGTTTTACGTATTAGTATATTTATCAACACTTTAGAATAGGCCAGTGATCGGCAAACTCATAAGTCAAAAGAGCCAAAAAATCATCAGCATAAAAAGGATTTAAAAAAAATTGAGAGCAAAATATCTTTTCAAGAATCATGTTTTTCAGAGTAAAACCGATATGTGGCCGACTGGTCGAGCCGCACTCAGGTCGCTAAAGAGCCGCGTGCAGCTCGCGAGCCGCGATCTGCTAACCACTAGAATAGGCCTTCAGAAATGTTAATACTTTTTTAATTTAAAAAATCTTACCAAAGTTATAATAGGGCCTACGAATCATGATTGTCTGAAAGGGGGTTTGTATTATGTCCTTATTTTAAATATAAACAAAATCCTCATCAATTATTAATAACTGTTTAAAAAATACATTTCTAATTAACTATGATTCAGTCAGAGCGTCCATACTTGGAATTCTTTCTCCATCCTAGAGATTCTTGAGATTAGTTTCGTCTCTAGAAAGTTCAGCCTGTCTCCAACGCCATCAGATCTGACAGTAGTCTCTAGGCAAACAATCGCGGCTTGGACTGTCCGATGTAAGAATTCATATTGTTCCTAGGGTGGTGGTGAATGTTAAAAAAAATTAAAATCTCAGAAAATTGTAATCTGCCTGTAGCTCACAAGAGCATTGAGATAATAAGATCTACAAGATATATAACGCAGTTCGAATACTGTTAGAAATCAACAACGTGGCCTTCTATACACAATTATAATCGGATCCAAATAATTTTCACGTAAGGTGTATTGAATGTATAGGTTTATAAATATATTGAAAGGTTATTAATTGTGGTTAATTTTGTTTAGGTAATTGATACATAGTTGGTAATGCATACATAATAGTTAATAGATATTAGGTGTTACAGACATATTAGGTATTTCATACATATTAAGTAATACAGGCAAATTCTTAGAATTCAGACAATTTTGTAAAAAAAAATATTTTAAATTTTATTATTTTGTATAACTTAATAAAAATTGTATCTGGATTTTTCTACAGTGAATGTTTTATTTTTAGAAAAGTATTATTAGCAATACACACCGACCATTTCACTCGTAAAAAGTTTATTTTTAGTCATTGATAGTGATACATACCGACGATTCTATCATACCCATTCGGTTGGTTCTCAGTTTGGCCACAGTGCTAAAGAAATCTACCTCAT